AAATAACCGTCGGCACTGACACACCATTGATAATAATGTCATTGGGAGGGAATAACGTTCCCGCTTGTCCAAGCATGTATATGCCTGACCTCGTCAGCACTTTGGCATCATGGACCTTGCCAGTGCTTCCTACGTTGGTGTTCATGAACCTGCCCCGGTGGTCCACCAAGCCCTGCAAAACCAGGGAGTAATACCCGTTGCAGTTTGCATATTCGTTGGCTCCTTCCGGAGGACAAACTATGGGAACGTGCGTTGCATCAATGGCCCCCGCACAGTTTGGGAAACCCATTTTCTGAAAGGCAGCCCTTATTTCAGGAATGTTCTTCATGGCCACAACACGTGGGTAAACTACCTTAAGGATTGCATCGCAGACTTCCATCACCACCAGCCCCACTGTTGACTTGCCCACACCAAACTGGCTAGCCACAGAGCTGCAGCAAGCCTGGCGTGGCCAGCTTCCAGATAGCAATGGCCACTCGCTTCTGCACAGGGATGGGCTCCCTGAACTGCGTGCTCTGGCGGCGGAGGGCCGGGGTGAGCTCCTCACAGAGCTCCAGGAAGGTCTGCTTCCTCATGTGGAAGTTCTGCAGCCACTCCTGATCGTCCCAGGTCTGCAGCACGATGTGGTCCCACCACGCCGTGCTGGTCCTCTTGCTCCAGAAACGCCGGTCAACGCATGGTGACTGGGCAGCGATGGCAGCGTTCATCATGTCTTCCCAGTCCGCCATGAAGGTGTCATCGTCGTCTTCCCAGTTCAGCACCCGCCGACACCTCAGGAAAGCCCGGAAGGCCATGAACCGCCGCTCGGCACGCCTGCCCCACAGCATGAACAAGTGGCTGGCCATCAGGAGCAGCTCGTGTAGCGGATCCCTGGCTTGGACCACCGGCAAGAAAGAACAGAGGTGAGCAGCAGGTAGGACCAGGAGAGCCTCAAGTCACAGCTGCTGAAGTCTGCTTTGGCCCCAGGGCTCACGGAGGAAGCGCAAGGCATCACATGCCAGTTCCTAGAAAGGCAGCGTCCGTACTCCAGAAACACGGGGTATGGCCTGAAAGGGGCCAGGCAGACGCAGAGTGGGCCCCATGGGGCAACCCTACAGTTGCGGACAGTGCGGCTCTGGAGCAGTAAGCATGCTTTGCTCTACTTCATGCTGGCAAGCGCCAGGACATGAGCCTACATGCCATGCAGCAAGCCCAGGAGGGGCTGGGCAGCAGGCAGGACTGTCTCAGAAAGGGAAGTCCTCCATGGGAGAGTGCCAGCTGGATTTCTGCTCCTGCGCTCCACAGCACTAACACCTTTCATTCTGGAAACTGGCACGATGAGGCATCCTGAACAAGAGCTCTCATGCCCTCACTGAGGCGTGAACCCGCCCGCAGAGACAGTGCTGGGCTGGGGGACACGCGCCAGGAATCACACCGCCGAGCTCCAGCAACGGCCCTGGACTTGCTCAAGGCACGCGGCAA